CCCCCTTCCCCGCCGCCACCCGGCTTCCAAACAAAAAAAGAAAAAAGAGAAAGGAGGGTAATTGTGTTAAGTTGTTAACCCCCCCCCCCTCCGGGAGGATTCAGCTTGTATCCATGTGCTGGAAAATCCGAAAAACCTCTGGCTTGGGTGGCATAAACGTGTATTTTTTTTAATTTTTTTTTTCAACGCGTAACGTGTAATTCCTAATTATTACACACTTTACAGTAATATTAATTAACCTTTTTTTTTTTTTTTCCCTTTCTTTTTTAGCAATCACCAACCTTCTCCTTGCCCGGACAAGTGCACACATAGCGGGGCGACTTACATGTACATGCAAGAGGCATGTACACTTACATGTCGGAGAGCTTAAACCACCAGGACTCCTAACGCCGTGCCCATAAACAAGCGACAACTTTAGGAAATGTACGGGCCACTACAGAAAAGCGCCCAAATTCATCCGACTAGAAATGTTGCTACTCTATTTTTTTCCCGCGGCCAATAGCTGGGCTGTGTACTGGCGGTTTAAGCACACATAGCTGGGAGAGTGCCCATTTTTTTATATCCCACACACACATAGCTGGCTATGGTGTGTAAGATAGCCAGGAATGCTACACGCAAGGCTCCGCATAGCCGGAGACGTGGACACAAAGCCGGTGGTGGGCTTACACATAGCCGGCTATGGTGTGTGTATGTGCTATGTCGCCGCACAGAAGTGGGAGAGCCACACTCGCATCTGCTGCAAATCTCTGCCCACAGCGAGGTTCCTCGCATAGCCGAAGAAATGCACACATAACCAGCAGTGGAGTGTCACATGCTAGCCGGAAAAGTCCACACTTATGCCGCAAAAATGCCACCTCTTTTTTTTCTTTTTTCTTTTTTTTGGGGGGGGGGGTGCACACAGTGCCTGAGAAGGGCACACAGTGCCTGAGAAGGGCACACCTAGCCGGACAAGGGCACGCGTAGCCGGAGACGTACACACATAGGCAGCAGTGGAGTGTTACATGCTAACGGGAGGAGAAGTGCACACATAGACCGCAGAAGAGGACACACCACACATACCCAGATGTGTCACATGCAAGACCCCAGTTCGAATCTAGATGAGAGAAACACCTCCTTTTCTCGGAGCAGAGGGGAATGCAAAATCTGAAAAAATATATATATATATATATTATATATATCATCACAAACAGAACTGCCCGGTAAAACCGTAGGCAGAGAGAGAGAAGAGGACAACAAACGAGGGGCTGTGACAAACTGTTTATATATATATATTTTTGAAAGGACGTCAATAGTTATAACCTACAACTGCTGCAATGAAGAAAAAACGACGAAAGAGGGCG